ACAAGGAGAGATGCTAGAAGCAGTTTTTGATATCTTTATGATTGTATTGATCCAATCAATATGTCCATTGGAATCAAATATCATAATGTTCACCAAATGAACATCTACATCAAGTTTAACCATTCTACCTCAATTAAAAGCAGAGTTGTTATGTTCCAAATTGCTTATCGCTCCTTAGCCTAAGCAGAAAATTCTCATCATCGAACTTAGTCAAGGTAATGATATAACGAATCTATACTCAGAGTTTCATCACTCTCACTTTTTTAAAACCAAAGTCAGAACTAAAGTTATTGTGCCCCAAAGCATCAACCAGTCAGATTGCTTATCTCTGCTTGCGGTAAGCAGACAATGTTTATCACCAAACTCCATCAAGGCATTCACCTAATCAACGCCTACACCAAGTTTGAACATTCTACCTCAATTAGAAGGAGAGTAATTGTGTTCCAAAGTCTCGACAAATCAAACTGCTTATCGCTCTGCTCACCCGAGCCGAGCTGAACAGAAAATGCTCATTATCAGACTTCGTCAAGGAATTGATGTGATAAAAATATACATCAAGTTTCATCACTCACTTTCTTAGAACTAAAGTTATCGTGCCCCACATCATCAACCAATCAAATTGCTTATCTCTGCTTACATTAAAGATACATTATGGGAGATTTTTATAGAGAGTTGGCCATTCTTGCTATAACAGTTCAAAAGTAGATGATGAAAGAAGGATATATTGAAAATTTCAGTCAAATTACTTTATTCTGAACATAGTTATCATCGTTGTAATATTTGACTAGAAATGGTAGTGAAATGTGCCTTCACCTTGGCCGAACGTTTGATTGACAAGCGTTGTTAACTCCACCTACATATCTCGATTATCAAGTAAAGTTTTCAATGGCATGCGGAAACGCTCTACAGCGGCCTCGCTAAGTACACTCTATCATTTAGCCTCGATCTAACTGACGTATTCTCATCAGGATGCGCCATATTTGAATTAATTGATAAGTGAAATCCTATTTAAATCCGAGCTGTAGCCGAGCCATCCGTGGGTCTACAGAGTTGATTTTGGGCTTGTTGTTTAAATAAAGATCTAATTTATAATTTCTATAACATCTGAAGCCTAAATTACGACTTGCAATAATCAGATTTTGCTCTTGCATAATGTATGTTTAAGCAAAAATACTCATCTTTGAACTACATCAAGGCATTGACCTAATAAACACCTACACCAAGTGTGAACATTCTAGGTCAATTAAAAAGAGAGTTATTGTGGCGGGCAGGCAGAGAGACAGACAAACCCTTTTTAATAATCCCCTGCTTTTTTTCGAAAGGCGGGCGACAAAAATACTTTTTTTCCCCAAATGACATTTCTTCCGGTGACAATGAAAATGTTAAATTAGTTTTATTTAATCACTAGCAGGATACCCGGCTTCGCTCGGGGGTCATAACTCCGAAACCGGAAGTGGTAGACTAACGCCACCTGACCTATGTTACTCCCCGGTCCGAGCTACCCCTATACCCCAAATTTCAGACTCTGGGCAGACCTAGTGTAGCCGCCAACCCCGAACAGACCGGTTTCGCTCGGGGGTCATAACTCCGAAACCGGAAGTGGTAGACTAACGCCACCTGGCCTATGTTACTCCCCGGTCCGAGCTACCCCCATACCCCCAATTTCAGACTCGGGGCAGACTTAGTGTAGCCGCCAACCCCAAACAGTAACTCCGAAACCGGAAGTGGTAGACTAACGCCACCTGGGCTATGTTACTCCCCAGTCCGAGCTACCCCTATACCCCAAATTTCAGACTCAGGGCAGACTTAGTGTAGCCGCCAACCCCGAACAGACAGACAGACAAACGACAGTCACAAATATTAGTATAGGTAGATAGATAAATGGCGTAAGATCATATGGGGAAATTCTTTTTATGAAAATCAAATAATGATTGACACTTTTATATGCCAAACACTTGTAGAAAATCGTCTATCTCCCGAAAATAATTAAGATCGTAATAGATGGACCGTATTTGTGATTGCGTAGTAAGTGTGATTTCATTACCCCCTCGCTTGTACGTGAGAATGAGTAGGGTCGCCTGTCCAACCTCGTGGGTTTTCTCCGGGTCCTCCGGTTTCCTCCCACTGTTAAAGACGCAAGCGAATTGTGGAAATAAAATTGAAACATATGTTAGTCCCGAAATGAGCTAGTTTGTGTCGAGTGGACGTTAAACCCCATTTCTCTCTCTTCAAACCATTCTGTGGTATATGTATGATCATTATTTTAAAGGCTCAATACCACTCTTGTTGTAACTGAATAATATATCCCAATCTTTATTCTGGTCAACAAATTGTACTATTTTACAATATTTCAATTAATTGATGATACAAATTTCATCTTAACATACCTTATTTAAAAATTTTGAAAAATTCAACATAATGGTTTGAAAGGTCTAACGTAAACCTTTTCAAATGAAACTTCGATTTAAAAATATTTTCGAACCCTCTGGACAAGTAAAATAGGATGTAATGGATAATTTACACAACAGGTAGGACACTTAAACATCTAGTACTTAGATAGAGATATTATTTATTTTCTGGAGCTTTCAAGCCAGCAAGAGTGTTATTGCCCCTTTAAACAAACAAAAGGCTTAAAATTCAGTTTTCGCAAAATGACGTCATATCCGGTGACAGTGAAAGCGTTAAAATGGTTTGACCTAGTCATGAGTGGCATTCGGCATCAAATGGTGAAAGAAAATTGAAAATCGAATAATAAATGATTCTTTCACAGTCACAGGCAAAATAGCGTAAACTGTGACTTATGCAAAATTGACTAATTCTCGGCAATTGCTCAAATTACAAATTACTTTTGAAACACACTTTCTTCGTATGGAATATTGTTACATGTTTATGATAGTTACAAAGGAATATTTTAAAATATGAAAAGCCTGGATGGATTGTAAATAGCCCATTTTTACACCTTTTTTCACCTTTAAATTGAAATGGCGCAAATACAAGCCCTGTAGTAGGGACATTCATCTTGATCTCTCAGATTTGTAAAAATTAATATTTACTTGCGAAGTTGTAGTTTTTGGCAAAATTACATCATTCCCGGTGCCGACAGAAAACTTTATCCGTTACAGAAAAAAAAAGACATTTTGGAACACGGAGTATATGAACTTTGTTTTGTACAACTCGAACGATAAATAATTACTAGGACCGGAAAACTGAATTAGCCAATGGCGGCTAGCGCAAAGAACCGAGAGAATTTATTTTCACATTTTTGCCCAAGTCCGTAGACCCTTTAATCCTGTGCATAATGCCATAAAAAAATTCATAAATAAAAAAGTTTTTTGTCAAATGTTGGCGCCAAATATCTACGACGATTTGTCGAAAAACAAAAATCTAAACTACCCTGGCTATGTGCCCGGCCTTGAGCTATGTCAAAATGTATCAAATGTGAAAATCCGCCGATTATTGTAAATATTACGGCAATGTTTAAAAACGACAACGCCGATTTCGGACATTTCGCGTTGTCGCAGAACGTTCGAATTAGCTCTATAATCTCTAAGTCACACCCAGTTTCGCAGTAAAACCGAATTGATACGGCAACTAGTTTCTGAGATATGCTCAAGTGGAAAAATTATAATAAGAATAATTTTAACAAAAACAATAGTGTTTTACACAAACTACGCAAATAACCAAAATCTTAACATACCGAAGCCCCATTAGTAGTTGAACTCGCTACAGCAACCAATGACGGCCCGTCAGTAATACAAAAGGTACTGTGACATGCCACAACTAAGGAACATAAAACCAAGGCAGCGACAACTTTCATCGTGATGAATTATTTTAATAAGCGATAACTCGAATTAATACTGGAGAACAAATTTGTTTCACGTCTGCACGGCTCGAGCTCTGTGTTGCTGTCTGCCTTATGATGAGATAATCGTTGACTTCTGCGTCAGGGGCGTACATAAAGATTTTGTTTTGGGGAGGGGGGGGGGTAGCAAAAATGCGATCAACTGATGTCCCTAATCCGAGTGTCGCAGTCAGGGGCCAAGCACCACAGATGAGAGTTTTCTAGGGGGCAGTAGCTGATCTGGATACTGGGAATAGGGGGTGGGGGTCCAAATCTAGGGCGCCATCCATAATCACACCCCACAATGAATGTCAACAAGAGAGGGAGAGAGAAAGAGAGGAATGGAGAGAGATAGGGAGTTTAGCGTCCACTCGACACAGACTAGATCATTTCGGGACTAACATATGGTTTAATTTTATTTCAATAATTCGCTTGCGCGTTGGGGTCTTTAGCAGTGGAAGGAAACCGGAGGACCCGGAGAAAACCCACGAGGTTGGACAGGCAACCCTACTCCATGTCAGTAGTAGAGAGGGTACTTCGGAGCAATTTTGGAATTCCAGACATTCCAAAGGTCTGACGTCACACATTCCTAAGGTCTGACGTCAGAGCATTCCACAGGTGTTCTATTTATAGTTTGAATATGGTTATTGTTGACTGAACAATGAGGTTATGAATAATAAAAAAGGTATGCAGGTGTTGTATTCTTTGATCGTGTTTGACTTTTGTAACGAGGGTATGGGGTCCACGAATTGTTTATTGGGGGGGGGGGGTAGGGGAAGATATTTCGCTTTATAGGCAGGTGTGCAGAGGTTACATTGAGTTCACGCCAAGCATAGCTATACCTGCATTCAGGGACAATGATCTCCGCTATTAAGCTTGACAGTTGAGCATGTTGTGATTGTTTATCAAAGGCTGTTTATATCCCACACACCATACTCCCCCCCCCCACACCCCCGTCCTAACCTAAAAAAAACCACTTCACAGGTCTACACTCTTCAATCCGTGTCGATACTAAGAAACCAACAACAGCCTTTTTTTTTTTTTTTATAATATTTTATTTAGCCATCATGTTATATATATATATTTTTAATTTGCTGGCAGGTTCCAATCTGCTAGCTCCCTATAAGTGGCGAGAACGTTGATTATGTTCTTGAACGCAGGGTTCGTTCCCTCAACCATCCTCAACCGTGTCAGTATGTAGTCCGTAAAAGCTAACAATCTGCAGAAAAGAACAAATCAGATAGGTATTGGTAAAATAAAACATACCAAGTAGAAAAAATCACCAAAAAACTTACGTTTCTTTTTCCTGCTCAGGTGATGGCCTTATAGGGGTTATATATGGGTGGTGTGTCGCCAGTAAATTATTGGCGTCGAACAGAATATCCCTTAGTTGGATAGCTATAGCAGGTGTTCCAATAGCATTGAGACACGGTGCCAATGTACACAGCATTAGGGTAATTATGCTTTTCAAGTAAGCCTGAACCTGGTCAATACTGTACCTTAAACAACAAAAAATATAATATTATAATTTATATTAAAGATATTTTCAAAGTCAAAATATTAATAGTTTGGTTAATACCAATAAATGTATGCCAATTTTGGTGTGTATGTGTGTGTGTAGCTTGAAAAAGTAGAAACATTCGAGTATGATGAAAAGTAGGGTGGGCTGATGCCATGGAGGTACAGTGTGTGGTTCTCTTGCACTTACCATTAAGCATTGCTTTCAACATAAAGTTCACGGTCTCTACGTATATGCAAGGTAATATAGCGTCTTAGGATCCTAACCGGGTTAATATTTGTTGAATATGTTTGACAAATATGGTTGCTTAGATATGAACAGTTTTAAAAATAAGCAAAGCAGACGAAAGTCGTATATTAATCTCAATTGTTAGGAGAGCGATTTAGCTAATTTACGCGTGTCTTTAATTACGCACTACAAAGGCCGTCCTACGAGGGTCGAGTGAAAAGTAAACATGAAACGCTGTTTTAAAAGTAGGTTTCGAATCACAATTTTGAAGAAATAATAAAAAAACTTACATTTTGAGACGGTCTTGGTTTTCTTTTTTTACAAAGTCGACGAGAGTTGATAATGCTTATTCGTTCAGAGGCGAGAATAATTTTCACAGACAAACGGTGGGTACTTATAAAGAAAAGTGAATACTTTTATGAGCAACTATAAATCGTTGGGAGGGTCGAGTTGTTCTAAGATATTCCTTTTAAAATATTATACATTAAAACTAGACAATACTCCGTTATGAATAATTTTAAAATAAATATCTCCACTTAAAAATATTATTCATGAAAACTAGTCAAATGTTCATAAAGTTTAACATTAGGTTTTGTCTGTTAAGAAGGGGGCAATTATGCGTCGTACTCAGACACCAGCTATAAACTGTCGGTGTTTTTATCAAGTACTAGACATAACCAATGACGCGAAATAATTGCCAGAAAGACGTGTGATGTCTGTCGGCGAGCGAGTAGCTGAAAAAACCCCTACTGGCAGCGAGTGGGTTTAAAAGACCAAGCGTCTAGCTACTTGTCAAAGCAGGTGTCAGTGGCTGACCGTTTAACCTCTCGCCACGAAGCATGCTACATTGAGTGTGTATATCTCGTAAGACCTTGTCTTTTAGTATACGCCTAGCAATTACTGGGACAAATTCGGAAAATAAGGTCAGTTTTTTCCTTTAAAGATACATTGTTTAAGATTAAGATAATTATTATTATTTTTATTATTCACTCTTTTCGAATTGTTTGGGGTCTCTGAGTACAAGATCTTGTACATATATTTTGTTTTTTATGTAGAATTGTTCAAAGTGTAGATTATAGCCAGGGTTAAAAATTCAGACAATTTCGACAGTTTTATCAAGAAAGTTGTGTTTGAAAAGTAAAATATTATTGTATCCGTAAATCGCAAAGCCTGGTGTTGTTAGGGTATCACTCGATGTGAAGATTATTAGCCCGGTTGTCAAACCTCACCCCAGATGTTTACATTCACGAGGATTACATTAACGATAGATTATTATTTATTAGCGATAGTATTACATTAGTAATAAACGATTGGTCGTTTCTTAAATTAAATTCTTAACATGTTACGGTGTTAGTTTTGTAAGAGTTTTTGATTGTGAAATTTGAATGTATATAACGTTATCAATTTATGTCGTGGTCATATAGAAAACGCCTGGATAAACACGATACATATACATTACGGTTATGGTGTCGAGATATTTGGGTCGTCGCGATAACCTGGGGTCTGGGACGGTTCTCAATTGTTGGCGAAAATTACTGGATAATCTACCACATAAAAAACCAAACTCACGGTTACGCAAGGGTAATGGAACCTTTCGGCTAAAGGCTCGGTAAGTGTTAGATCTTATGAAGCCAGGCCGTTTTTGCTAGATTCTATAAAGTGAGTCTGAAATATATCTCACAATTCACTTGGCGCATCTATTATTAGAAACAAAATAGATCCGAGGAGAATGAAGCGTGAATCACGATGAAGAATTAAGAAGATTGTGAGAAGCCATACGGCTGATTCATGACGAGAGAAAATTACCATTTCAATTAAAACTTTTACAAACAAAATTTTAGAGAGGGTCATTGTAGACTAGCGAGATGTTTTGATAGATTCAGTACGTGGTAACTTAAAAGACTGGATAATCCAGACAATGACAGGCTTTCCGTCAAATTTTGAGGACCCAGCCAGACTAATATTCGTAGAATATTTGTTTGGATGATAGAGACAACTTTACCGTTAGATGTGTACTGTATAACTTCGTTCAACATGTAAGGGGAGGTAACTACATTCAACATGTAACAAACCTTGGAATCACACCGGCTATTATGAATTATCTTCAAATTGACATTTTTTCTAAGTTTGACTTTCTCGGTTCCTTGACCCATCAATCATTATGCAATGAGTTAGTAATACTTACCGTCATTATGCAATGAGTTAGTAATACTTACCGTCACGTTCAAGGTGTAAGGTCCCTTGTTTTTAACAAATAGACGTCGTTGTTTTTTTTAAAAATCACATGATTCTACAGTCATGTTGTCTATATTATATTCCTTCACTTTATCGTTTTTGGAATTCCACTCCGTCAAGAATAGATAGGGACCCCCTATTGAATCGAAAAAGCTGAATTCCGATTTCTTAGCCGCCTCGATGCATTCGGTTTTAGATTTGTACAAAACTCTGGAAGTCGCTAGGGTAATCACACTCTGTTTGAAAAATCCTCTGAATTGCCAGCGAAAACCTCCCGACAAACATGGTTTAATCATTTGCATAAAACTACAGGTTTGATTGTACCTAGTGTGTTCAACGAATGGGTTGTCTCCGGGGTTCCAAGACTTCAATATTAAGTTGCATCTAAAACATTTTACGCGATCGTAAGGTCCAATATAGATAAAGCCAGCCTTGCTCAAATTATGAGGTGTCGGCTGCTTATGCATCCAGCAATTATCAAAGGTGGCCAGACGATCGTTATAGAGTATATAAGGCTCCATCTTACTACACCATTTAAAAACCCAACACCTAGATCTAAAAAAAAAAAAAAAAAGTGAAAAAAAATTGTTACAGTCATGTACTTTTGATTATTATTAAAACAAATTTTCTGCTTTCTTAGAATGGATGCGTTTGAAACCTACACACACGCTCAATGGGGTGAAATACTACAGATTACAGACGAATTTGAATATTGGACTGCAAGTCAAACCTTGGCCGTTAACGAAGCTCTAGACCACGTCGAGAATGAAAATCATAATGAAACACAGGGGGTTAAGCGGCAACTGTCTGACCCTGACACCGAGGATGACTCTGAAGAAGAAGAAAGGTTAGAAAAAAGCCCCCGACCGGTGGTTAGTCCGATATTATTTTCAGATGACGATAGCGACTTTGACACGTCGCAGGTGAGCAAAAAAACTTTACACGATATTCAAAATAATGTGAAACCTAATTCGTCTACAGAAAGTGAAAAGATCGATCCGCTAATTGCACTATTAACGAGTGACATAACATTGCCTTCTAATATCCAATCTTTAGTGGCTAAGGTTTGTGACGAAAAAGACGACGAAGTCGTCGACATTTTTGATTTGTTAACACCACCGGATTTGTTTTTTTAAATACCATACCAAACCCAATCTCCATTTTTTTTTTTTTTTTTAAAGATTTGTCAAGTGGGGAGAGGTGGCGAAGATTTAGTAAGGCTGATTTCGGTGGAGCGCCGTTTTTCAAGAAAGTTTAATATCCATTCCGAATTAATGAGAATCGAAATTATAAACACGGAGGCGGTTACCACTCCTGACTGGCTAGAGCGGCTATTCACTCAGATATTAGAGACCGTCAGAGAAAATTTCAATGTTCAGCCAAACGAGAGGGTAAGAATACAACTAAATCATCCTGATTTGGACAACCCCATATATATTGCGTTTAGACCTTACGAAGAACTAACTTTGGAATTAATTTTGGAAGAGATTGCGAAAGTAATGCAGTCAAAAAAAACACTAGTTATTGACAATCAAACTTCTATATCCGTAACCTATGTAGCCTCTAAAGAGGGTGGTGCTTTTACAAATAAGGTTCTTTTGAACGAGGCTTTTATGAGTTCAAAAAAACGAACATTTATATCACCAGTTGCCAACTTTGGTTATCAAACTTGTTTCGGACAATCTATCGTCCTGGGTATAAATGAAATTTCTTATCGTAAGAAAATTTCACCGACAGTCGAAGAAACTAAACATTACAAACGTGTAGCAAACAAACGCAAGAAAAAACCGTTACAGATTGCTATGGCTATGGAAATGTATCAAGAGTACGGGGTTAACCCGTTAGTGCCTACAGGTCGTCCTGAATGGTGCATATTCCAAGAACACTTAAAAGCTAAATATCAAATTGTCATCTATGACGCACAGAGTGCAAATTGTGTCATATTCAGAGGTGTTGCGGATCCCAATGTACCCGTTTTAAGACTGTATTTAATGGAAAAACATTTTTATTATATAAAGAAAATCAACAGCTTATTTAATCAAGCATACTATTGTCCAGCGTGTGAAAAACCATATTCTGATAAGAATAAACATGTGTGTAAAGCGACATGTCGCAGTTTCCGTCAGTTAGATTCTTGTCCTAGGGATCGACCACGAATACAATGCGAATTTTGCCACCGTTATTTTAGAGGGTTGAAATGTTTGGAGAGACATAACCAAAATGTCCCACTATACACCGTGACGACGTGTGTGAAATATAGGGCATGTTTAAAGTGTTATGCGACAATAGACACACACGAAGATGACGCAATGAATAAACACACATGCGATGTGCACAAATGTCGTAATTGTGAGCAGCTGTGTAAACCTAACCATAGGTGTTATATGAAACGATTATCGGAGGACGTTGAAGTTGAGACCGTCAGATATTTTGTTTTTTACGACTTTGAGACTATTTTGGATGAAAATAATATCCATGTAGCGATTTTATGCGTTGCACACCGCGTGTGTCCTTTATGTTTGGAGAAAGACATTAACGAACCTTGTGACGGTTGTAACTTAAAGAACACTCAGAGAGAATGGATTTTTTATGGTAAATATTGCGTCTCTGAGTTTTGTCGTTGGATAGTTCAGACCGAAATAAATGTCGACCTCGAGGGTAAAAAAACTACCGTTCTAACTCACCGACACTCGAGGTTCATAGCACATAATAGTCAGGCTTTCGATGCTCTATTTGTATTGAGATATTTCGTCATACATACTAGAATTCTACCTCAAATCATCGCAAACGGGTCTAAAATCCTTTGTATGACTATAAACAATAATATACGTTTTTTAGACAGCCTGGCGTTTATGCATATGAAACTTACAGATTTTAGCAAAACATTTGATTTACCGATTACGAAGGGTATATTTCCGTATTCATTCCTTAAACCTGAAAATTTGGAATACAATGGTGAAATGCCACCGATAAGCTTTTACGAAACGTCAACTATGTCTCCGCAGGAACGTGATAAGGTTATTAAATGGTATAATGAACGCGTGTTACAAAACAATTATTTTGACACTAAAACAGAATTGACAAACTATTGTGTAAGCGATGTAATTCTCCTCAGGCTGGCATGCGCTCGGTTTCGTAGTCTTTTCATAGAACTGACCAAAATCTCGCCCTTTCAAATGGCTATTACGATTGCGTCCTTGTGTAACCTTGTCCACCGGCGAAAATTCTTACCTCCCTTTACGATTGCTATAGCACCCCAGGGTCAGTATGTAGTCGCCCGTCAGTATTCAAATTCAAGTATACGTTACATGCAATATCTGGAATACATTGAAAACCATCATATACAACATGCCCGTAACGGTGGTGAAAAGGTCATTTTCAATATGTATGTAGATGGGTGGTATATGGAAAATAATACCGAAGTGTGTATCGAATACTTGGGTTGCGTTTTCCACGGCTGTCTCTGTATAAAAAACAGAGAGCGAACATCACCATACAATAACAAAACTATGGCCACGTTGTACGAGGAGCACTTGGCACGTTTGGAACGGCTGAAGGCCCCCAACCGTCGCGTTCGTTGTATATGGGAATGCGAACACCGACAACTCGTAAATACCCAGGCGTATTTAGACTTTGAAACAAGAACACCACCTTTGACGGCCCCCTTGCAAGTACGTGACGCCTTTTATGGTGGCAGGACGAACTTATTAAAATTTTATCACAAGGCCCGTGAAAACGAAAGAATTCGATATCTGGATTTTACGTCACTTTACCCCTTTATCAATAAATCAGCGATTTATCCTGTAGGACACCCCTTGATTATTCTACGGGACTTCTTACCTTTGGAGAGTTATGTAGGGTTTGTTAAATGTCAAATCCTCCCTCCAAGGGAGTTATACATACCCGTCCTTCCGTTTAGGTCCAACGGCAAACTGTTATTTCCGTTATGTTCTAAATGTGCTCTGAATCGTAGCAAGACGGATTGTACTCACAATGCAGATGATAGGTCACTGACAGGTACTTGGGTTATATTTGAAGTTATCGCAGCGATTAAAAAAGGTTATCGCATACTCAAAATCTTCGAGGTATGGAATTTCCCACACACACGCCAATATTGCAGCGGTGACACCCCGATTGATCCGAAAGACTACGATATTCACGTGTCTACCGTCCGTGCCGACTATACTGATATCCCGGAAGACGATATATTTGCACAGCTACCCAAAAAAGACCTGTTCAGTGAATATATCAACATGTTTCTCAAAATTAAACAAGAGAGTTCGGGGTATCCAAATGAGCTTAATCCTTCGTGTAACTTGTGTGATAATCTAGATACGTGTTGCCATATCGACTGGCAGGTTCTCGAACAAAAACGTTTGGCATATATTAAAGCTTACA